GCTTTGTTCAAACTCACCTTCATCTCGTCGGCTAGATTAGAGGCCTCATCGATGCGTCCGGCAGGTGAAAAGGCTTCCAGCTGCTTCTCTGAGAGATTCTTCAGTTGACTGGCGTGAGCTCGAACCTCATTAGCCTCGTGGTTGAACTATTGAGGGGCAAGTGAGAGAGTAGAGAACGGAAGAGAAGATAAACTTACAATATGGAAATCCGCTGCTGTCTTCAGTTGAATGGCTGCAAGATTGGAGAGTTGTGCTGTGTAGTCCCAGCATTGCTTCACGTTATCAGTAAGAAACTAAGGCATGAAAAAAATTCACTGTTCAGCTTTATTGCAAGCTCAGTTGGTGAGCACATCTTTTTACTTTGTGAAAGATATTCATTTGGAGATGGAGTAATTGCCTGGACTCGGCTACCAACTCTTTATTTACTTGATCTCTATGTTTAACAAACTTCATCTCCTCAACTTTAGTAGCATCAACAGCTTCCACCTTACCTCAGTAAAGCTAATCATTCATTGGCCTTGTGTAAAACATTTTACTTATCCAAAACTTCATTGAAGGACTATTCCACATTAGTGGGCTCTCACTTTTTCCATAATTTTGTCATGAATATGGTTTTCGCCATTATTGCTGTAGCCTTAGAAAGTATTTATCTTAGTGTATAGCAGTAATTCACGCACATATGCTGCTTAACCACCAATGAAACACTCACCCGAGATGAGAGGGCACGCTGCGAAATGCTGTCCTCGGCGCTCAATCCTACAGCTGTGACCGTTGCAGCTTTGGTTACGTCCTGAAAGAAGGGAAACAAAAGTGTCGGTCACGCCTTCCCTTTTTTCTTATTAAACGTTTATTTCATAACTTTTGGAGAGTGAATTGAAGCGTTTTAGAGGATGTCCATCCCTCAGTTATCTTATTTGGCTTCATGATGCTGGTCTTATCAATGCCAGACAAACAAGCCTTTCCGGTATTTTGTTGATTTAAGTCCAATTAGAGTTAGCTTATTTTATGCGATTGTCGCCTCTACGTTACATAGATTACAGGATTGTGCAAGCGCAAGGTGGACATTGAATGTGGTTACCGCCAGGTGCAGTGTGGTTTGGGAAGCTTACAGTAAAGATGTTCTCCAGACAGGAGATGGTTTCGAGGTAGCGCAGCGTCTCAGTATTGCCAGTTGCGACTCTCTACAGTTCCACACGATCGGTTACTTTGTTATGAAGTAATGAACATACCAAAAGCCGCCGTGCATTTTCTAATTCAAGTTTGCCATCGTCAGTTTTCTAAAATACACGAAGCGATGCGACGTTGACGTACTGTGTGAAACGAGGCTTACATTACTGCCCAGCGCGATCACGAGCGACTCGATGCGCTCGCGAATGCGCGTGTACCGCTCGCGCTCCTCATCCAAGGCTAGATGAGATACGCCCACGTTGAACTCCACCACTTCAGACTGAAAGACCAAGAAAAACCACTTACGCTCGGTTCTGTCAACCTGTGACCAAGGTCACTGTGCTGCTCCAAGTTTATCAACTTAACTTTAAAGAAATTGTGTTTTTCGCATTCAAACACTCAAGTTTCTCATTGCTTTCATTTTAAATAAGGCTTTGCGTTGAAACGTCACAAGGCGTCTTAAGGAAACGGCATCAAAAGAGTGCCAACTAACCTTAATAGCACTCAGCTGCGAGGATATCACGTTGAGGTCTAAAGTTAAAAACCAAAGCTGACATTAAGACATGATTCAATTCATTATTGCCTAAATGGTCACATGTTCAACCCGACACCCATCTGTTATGCCAACTCTCCTAAAATCAACATCAATTTAAGCGTAGCCGCCACAGGATCTTGAGGAATCGGGATTTAGAGCTTCTTGACAAAATATCCTTAAAGAAATGGATTATGTAAGCATAAAGAGCGAATGAGCAAGACGTAGCCCACAATCCTTTAACCGCAAATTTAAAAGTGTATGTTCCATGTCTTAAGTAAGGCGTTTGAAGGCCCGTGCCTTACTTTTGCAGCCAACAGTTAATTTGTACTACACCCAAAATTCATGAATAATTTAACCCA